GATTCGATTCCGACTAGGGTTTTAAATCTGGAAAAGGGTTGATTAAGGTTTCGATATGCCTCCTCTCCCCCCAGATGGTTAGTTTCACACCTCGACTCCTAGAAGAATAGGGAAATGACACGGTCGTCATCCTACTTGAAAGACACAGCCTCAATTGCAAACCAACATAAACCTGTTATTAAAATATATATATATCAATCTATATATTAGATGAAACAAAGAGTTGGTTACATAATTAGACTTCTAAATTCCATTAAAAAGAATATATACATTTCCAAGCTAACAACAAAATCCAGCAAATTCTTCTTTAGACATATTCAACACGTACCCAAATCCAATAACCAAAAGTTCTCCGCCGATGACGCACTCAACCTAGTAGCCACTAGTTGAAAAACTTGAAGAATATTTGGAATGAATGAAGTGACCAACCATAATTCAGTGAATAGTACATATCTCTTCTAAGCAGATTAACCATCCACTATGCATTTTTATAAAGCAATACAGGAAACTCAATAATCCTAAATCCAGTATATAATATACGTAAAATATAAAAAAATGAAGTATATCATGTCAACAAAATTTTATACGTGTAAGATACTCATTCAATCAAGAATATTAAATCAAACATCAATTCTCCATCCCATTGATCAATCTAATGCTCAATATCCAACTATTGTCACACTTAAAGCCTCGTGCCAAGAGCTGCCAATATTTCCCCTTGGCCAGCTCTCCAGCTATATCAATCAATGACCCGCACAAGGACATCCTGAACATAGTATGCATATTCACAACCCCTTATAAGGTTTAGAACATAGCGACAATGAGCATGAAGCCAATAACTCATTCTCCAATAACCCATAAAGCCAATCCAAGATCCATCTCATAAACCGAGTTCACAAACCAAAAGATATAAACTTTCACAATCCAATTCATCAAGCAAAATACATTTACTAAATCATACTTCATTCCATTTTAGAATTCATTTCATATACCAGTTCACAAATTAGGATAACCTTTCCAATTCCTTTTATAAAGTATTTCTCAAAACATTTTCCGAATAATCAACTCACAAACTATTTCAAATCACCAAAAGGGATGTACACACTCAATCCGACTTTATGCAACAAATATGCTCTAAAATATCACTTTTTCATTTTAACAAAGTAATATTGTGCACATAAGACATCTAATCCTTATTACTTTTGAAATATGAGTTTTCAAATTAAAAGAAAAGATAAGTAGCACTCATAGCTAACCAAAAGTCCAAATCTGAAACTATGCCGCCTGGAAAGTTTCAAAATCCTATCAATGAAGGGCAAAAGTACACTATAAGTGCCATAACTTGTGTACGGCGATCACTTTGGTGCCATAACTTTTTTTCGGATCACTTTGGTGTCAACTTTTTTGAAAATCGATCACTTCAGTGCCAAAGCTGACATGGCACGCCGGAAATCTGATGTAGCTCTTTTTTATTAATATTCGATGCTGAGATGGCTGGCCGGAGTAGGCCGGAGAGTCCAGTAAGCCCTTATAGCGAAAACGACGTCGTTCAACCTTTCTCCCCCAAATATAGGAACCCTAAATCGGCTAATTGGACATATTCCCCAATTGCAAACCCTAACCGTCCATATTATTTCCTTGTTTTCCCACAATTGACAGCCAAAGGTTACAAATGAATGGCAGGAGCTTCACTAGCGGCTCAAATTCGTTTGAACGAAGTGAAGAAGAAGGTCGGTTCTTCTGCTATTGTGGATTACCGAGTCCAAGAAGAACATCTTGGACTCGATTGAACCCCGGGAGAAGATTCCATGGATGCGCTAGGTATAGAGAAGCTCGAAGTGCAAATTCTTCAAATGGGTTGATGCGAAATTTTCAGATCGAGCAACAGAGGTGATAGTGAAGCTACTTGAAGCTCGACATCAACTTCCACCTGCATTAATGGACGAGTTGGACGAGTTGGACGATGTCGACTCATTGCAAGCTGAAATGAAGGCTTTAGCATCTCTGGCCAACCATTTGAAGAAGGAAGTTCGAAGGATGAAAATCGAAAGAAAGTGTTATCGATTGTTGATTGTGTTATTGATATTTTTCATAGCCTATTTTATGGTCAAATGTAATGTCAGTTATGAGCAAAAGTTTCTTAGTCTACCATAATTTAAGATAGGCTTGTACTATGTACGTGTATTTGGCAATTTGTAGCTACGGTTGTGTTATTAGTTTGCTGCAATTTTTGTATGTAACAAGAGGTTTGCTGCAATCTATGACAAATGGAAGGTTGGAATTTATTGGTTCTCATTGTTGAGTTGCTTAGTATTTTGTTGCTGCATATTTTGATGCAGTTTTGCCTCATTGGCAGCATATTTATTGCATATTTTTGCTCATTTGCTGTCTTTTGCTGCACTTCCTCATTTGCAGCATATTTTGCTGCATATTTTTGCTCATTTGCTGTCATTTGCTGCACTACCTCATTTGCAGCATATTTTGCTGCATATTTTTGCTCATTTGCTGTCATTTGCTACACTTTCTCATTTGCAGCATATTTTACTGCATATTTTTGCTCATTTGCTATCATTGCTGCACTTCCTCATTGGCAGCATATTTTTGCTCATTTGCTGTCATTTGCTGCACTTCCTCATTTGCTTCATATTTTTGCTCATTTGCTGCACTTGCTCATTTGCTGCATATTCACTTGCTCATTTGTTGTATTTTTTTCATCTGGTTAGATGGTTGCATATTATGGAGTAAGGCTCACTACTGAAAAATGAGGTGCTGCAAGTGCTGCAACTCTGCGTAGCAGCAAATTATGAAGTCGTCACAAGTTCAGCAGTTGACATTTTAGTGCCAAATGTTTCTAATCGTGATCACTTAAGTGCCAGTCGTGGTTCAAAAGTGATCACTTAAGTTCTAGTCGTGGTTCAAAAGTGAGCACTTAAGTGCCAGTCGTGGTTCAAAAGTGATCACTTAAGTTCCAGTCGTGGTTCAAAAGTGATCACTTAAGTGCCAATTGTGGCCGAAAGTTGATCACTTAAGTGTCATGCCGTGTGTTTCTTTGAAAAATGGAGACTTTGGTTCCAACAAACCAATCTTTAAACCAGATCATTCCAGAATCAAAGCAGTAACTGTACCAGCACTGCTCACCAGCACCAAACCGCCCTAAACCATACTCATAAACTGGTTCAAACAGCCCCCAAACCATATTCAATCACCAGCTCCAAACAGCCCCCAAACCATATTCAAAACCGGTTCAAAATGCTTGCACCAGCACGTGCTGGCGTGCTGGTGCAAGCACTATACTGCACTTCCAAATATGACAAAATCAGCAGCTACCATACTATACTCCCAAATAGTAACCATACTATACTCCCAAATAGTACAAAATCAGCAGCTAGTACAAACACCATACTGCACTCTCAAACAACACAAAATCAGTAGCTGGTGCAAGCACCATATTGCACCTGAAAATAGCACAAAAAACCAGCACTAATTCCCACCCTCCCCACCAACTGCATCAGTAAGTTTCTTTAAATATTAACTTACTGATGCAACTTAGAAGCACCACACTACACCAGTACTATACTAAAACAGAACAAACACGTATGCAAAAATATGGAAATCACAACCACCTTAACCACGGTAAACATCGAATTTAGTCATTACACACAAGATCCCATTAGTCAATAACATTCCAGGACTACAAAAAATCAACCTCCTATTAGCCAATACGGTAAACCTCCCTAATTTCACAAAAACTAACAATCACCTCAACACCCTCCCATTAGTCAATAGTGATAAGTCCACCATTTCCTTTTCCTTTCGACGGCTTCTTGAATTGATTCATAATTCTTTGACTCTTTCGAACTGGACGAACTGCAGGTTATTCTTCTGAAGATGCAGGTTCTTCAATAGCTGGAGCTGCTTCTTCTTGAACTGCTGGAGCTACATCTTCCTCAACAACTGGAGCTGCTTCTTCTTGAACTGCTTGAGCTGCATCTTCTTCAACAGCTAGAGCTGCTTCTTCTTGAACTGCTCCAGCTGCATCTTTTTCAACTGCTGGACCAGCAGGTTATTCTACTGGCCTTCTTGTTCGAGATTTCTTCTTAGGCGCAGCAACTATCTTCTTCTTACTGGTGTTGGTGGCTGTTTTGGAGCTGTCAGCATGTGCTGGTTGATCAGGAATTAGTGTTGAGTTTTTTGTTGGTGGCAGTTTACGAACACTCTTCTCTGCAGCCACCCTTCTTCTCTTTGGACCAGCTGCTTGCGACGTTGGTTGGATTCTTTTTGGTGCAGCTCTTGACTCTTGGCTTGGGCCAACTTGAGATATGAGAACCTCTGAACTCCTCCCAGGTTACAACATAATCATGGATGAGAAGAAGCAATATTGTCATAAAAGTGAAAAACTCACGAATGAAATGCATGAGATGTACAAAACTTACATGCAAAATAGTCATTCCAGTATTAAAGTCCGTATAAATTCCATAACCATATTGCCTTAATCTTCTGCCGAGGGCCCCTCTTGTTTGATATGGTGCCTCACTTTGAGGAACCTGAGCTGCTTGTTCAGTTGGTTTTCTTCTCAACTGATAAGAACAAAACAATGTCAATTAAAGCCAAAGTTTGCTCACTAAAGATTAATACAAATACATATAGCTTACTGGATATTTTCTCCTAGCCGGTGCAACAGTCGAGGAAGAGGTTGCCCTTAAACCTGGGCCTCCGGTTGGCTCTTCAGCTGGTTCTTGAACTTGGCCTTCAGGCCCTTCAGCTAGACAATCAGCATGCCTATCAGCTAGCCCTCCAGCAGGCCTTTCAGTAGCCCCTTCAGCTGGTTCTTGTGCTGGCGCTGCACTTGATCCAATTTGAGTCCCTCCACTTGGCTGTTGAAGCAACTGATGTTGCTTCTTCAAATGACAACCACTTTTATTGTGACCTACCTCACGACAATATGAGCATTTTATCTCTACACCTGACCTGCTCATCTTCTTACTTCTGGGCTCTCCCTCCTACTTTCTTCGTCTCCTTTTAGGCCTTCCCATTTGTTTCTTAAGTGGTAAAGGATGAGGGGCTTCATAATTTGTCGGCTCCCTGAATTTTGTACTTCTAATAGGCTGCATCATGTGCTGGTACGCAGCAAGATACGTGCTTTTGTGGTAGTAACCATGCAGGTAATCCTTGGGATTTTGGTATTTCGCTTGGATGGCACAAATAGCATGTGTGCAGGGAATTCCAGAAAGTTGCCAAGCTCGACATGAGCACTTTAGTTTGTCCAATTGGACAACATACTTGTTTGTTTTTTCCATGACCTCATAGCCATCATCTCCATTCCAGATAGGATGACAGAACCTAATACTCGCCAAGTTGTCATCCAATCTTTTAGCAATCCTAGGACCACACTGTCCAGTCCACTTCGCAGCCTCATCTCTCTGTTTTTGCAGCCTTGTCATGACTATCACTTGAATATCCTCAAGTATGCTGATGATTGGTTTGCACCTCGCCTCTAAAATTCTGCCATTGAAGGCTTCACTAAGATTATTATCAATGATATCGCTCTTGAATTCTTCACTGAAGAAGGCCTTGCACCAATGCTTGGGTTCAGTTTGAAAAAGTGCTTCATAACCGTCCTTCGTTAAGTCAAGCAGCTGCTGTTTGTGAATTCTAAAATCAGCCATGTTGGTGCTCTTAGCTATCATCCAAAATTGCTTCTGTAGTTTCTCCCCTTTGTAGATCTTTGCCCAGTTTGCATATATGTGCCTCGCACACATCCTATGTTCAACAAATGGCATCAACTCAGCTAGAGCAGGAAGAAGTCCCTACAAGAATTCATACATCAAGGCATTAATAAAGGCATGTGCAAGATAAAATGTCATAAATATTGTTTGTGCAGTTGCACCAGCATTACCTTTTGTTGGTCGCTCATGAATGCCCAACCTCCTCCATTAGTGATCTCAAGGTCTGCCATCAAATTTTTCAGGAACCACGACCAAGTGTCCTTGCTCTCTACCTTCACAACAGCCCAAGCAATTGGAAACATCTGATTATTGCCATCCCTCCCAATGGCAGCCAGCAATTCTCCCTTGCACACACCCTTCAAGAAACATCCATCTAACCCTATGACTCGTCTACAACCAGCAACAAATCCCCGCTTGCATGCATCAAAGCAAATATAAATTCGGTCAAAGTTAGTCCCATGGTTAGGCAGTGGCCGCTCCACAACCTCAACATAAACTCGACTATCCGGGTTTTGCAGCCTACATTCTCCAACATATTCCCAAATTTGACCATATTCTTCCTTGTACCTCTCTAGAATTTTTCTCATCACCTTATACTTGGCTCTTTTACACTGATTGAGTGACATGTTAATCCCTTCATGCTCCCTCACCAACTGCTTCAGCTGAGCACTTTTCACATCAGGCATCGCTTTGATGGTATCGAAGAAGTGCTTCGACAACCAAGCACTCGTTACCCTTTTGTTGTCAAACATGATGGAACAAGTATGTTCCTCCTGTAATGACCTAATTTGGAATGACCCGTCCCTCTTTGAACGTGCGCCATATATCTTCCACGAACAACTAGGTTGAGAACACTTTGCTCTAACATAGTCCTGCGTATTTCGAGTGAACTGAAGAGTCCTCTGTTCAGCTATTGAATACTTGATAATCCCTTCTTTGAATTGTTTGACATCAGAAAATTTCAGACCTACAATCAACACGAAGAAGAAGAGCGGATCGTATAACGGATACTTACGTTTCCTTCTGCGCACAACGGGATCATCATCTTCATGCTGATTTTCAGAATTATCATTCTTCATCGTAGCCACTTTCTTCATAATCGGTGTCATTACCTTCACTGGAGCTCCATCAATGCTATGTCCTGGTTCACCTTCATGCAATCCTCCAAGTGCATTGTTGATTTTTTCCAAATTCCCTTTGCTTTTGCCTTGACTGTGCAAGTTCCTCATCGTCATCTTCACTTGGTAAATTTACATTTGTCACACCCTCATCATCTGATTCACTAGATGCAGCAACTTCCTACGATAATCCAGTGAACTCAAATCCAGTGAACTCTTCACTCGTTGCATGGCTTGCCTCCCTCTCATCCCTCTCATGTCCAGCTTCATCTATAATAGAACTAGCACCAACCTGAGTACTAGGTAAAGCAGCACCATCACCTACGTCTCCTCTCTCAGCTCCTTCATTAGATTCACCATCACTATAGGACTCAACGTACACAACAGCTTCTTTTCCATGAAGATAATGGTAGATGATATCCTTAACACCATTATCATCATGAAAGTTTCTAATACCGTCCTTCAAGCTGCTTCCAGGAACACAATAATGCAAACTTCCTATTTTACATCTTAATTGTTGAACTATATCCCTCATGAGATTAATATATGCTGGCTTGCTTCTATCGAAATAAACAGTACCTTCAAGTCCCCCAGAGTATTCCCACTCGTCAGTGCCGATGACAAATTCTCTTCCATAGCGAACAATGATGCCGATAATTGTGTCTTTATCCCCCATATCGACCCTGCATTGAAGGAAAAAAGCCAAAAAATTCAATATTTTAGCTTTCGGGACCACACCACATAGGGAAAAGAGCACAGCTTCACATGAAGGTCCCCCACATGGTCGACAAGATTGAAAAAGCCACCATCAGACCACATGGGTGACAATGACAGAGGTCCCCACATGGACCACAGTCTATCGCATATACTCAGCCCGGCACCAACACAATCGAATCCACTTCAAGCCCTAATATCCGAACAACTAGCAATAATTTATGAAGTTCAAGCTTTAATTTCAGAAGTTTAAGACCTAATTTCAAGTTCGAGCCCCAATTTCCCAAGTTCGAGCCCTAATTTCCTACTTCAAACCCTAATTTCCCGAAGGCAGCCCTAATCTACTAATTAATTGAGTGAAACATAGGACAATGAAGCACAATGTGTCGATCAATTCAGCAAAATAGAAATTAACGGCCCTTATTTGAAGACCGACCTTCGTAATTTGCCACGGAGACGGGACCGACGCCGACGGGACGAGTGATGCTCAGTCCACGAGATGAGGGAGCGACGCCGACCGACCGCGAGGGGAAGGCAAGAGACGGCGTTGGCGACGGTGATGGTGATGGCGACGGCGACGGCGACGGCGACGGCGATGAAATGAGGGTGCCACGAGCGACATGCGACGACGACTGGACGAGGGAGACAGAACAGGTGTGACGAGCGACGCGATGCTAAGACCTTTGAACTGAGCGACGTTGTTTGCTGTCCTAAATGGAACGACGTTGTCCTTCTTGTCCACGTGGACATCAAATGTTGACCCCAATATCCACGTCACACTCTTTTTTTAAATAAAAATGCCAGGTCAGCTTTTTGGCCGGAATTTTGGCCGGAGTCACTAAAGTGATCGATTTTCCTCCGACTTGGCACCAAAGTGATCCGAAAAAAAGTTATGGCACCAAAGTGATCGCCGTACACAAGTTATGGCACTTATAGTGTACTTTTGCCATCAAAGAAGTATCAACCAAATGTCAAATTTTAGAACAAACTAATTTTGACTAAAACTCTACTAAGCAACGCTATTTCTAGGGTTGAATCATTCACTATAGGTCTACAAAAGACCTCAAGAATAGCCACCTGTGCAATGAACGACCACTTGAGCAACGAATGGCTACTTGCACTGGTGTTACGAACTTTGTCACACCATATCTCTCTCTACCAAATTTTGATTTAAGCGAGCTTACCATTAAGTGAAAGCTCCTTTGCAGTAGTAAAAGATCCTGAATTTCGTCGACATATGGACAAACATGTGCAAAAACCATCGCCAAACATAGCAATTCGTAACTTGTTCCAACGGCGCGTGCGAAACTTAAAATGTTCACTCCGACTAAACTATAACTCCAAATCAACTTTTGTAAAATCATACGACTTCACAACACCCTAAAATTTCATTACTGGATTATTTTGTAGCTAAACAACTCCTAGATTGAATCCAACAACTCGGAATAAGAACTGTTCTGAATTTCTAGCTCAACTACGAAAATTCCTTTGATTCAATGAATTTGGGTTTAAACACTTACCAGGTGCTATGAAATGGAGTTAATCTGGCTTATCAATATCTTTGGAGAGTGCATGCGATGCTTTATTTGTGCTCTATATTTCCCCCTTTTTTTGTTAGTTGTTGCCGATTACTTCTTCTCTTTCTTTTTATTAGTTTTTTTTTACCGATCTCTCTCTCTCTCGCTCTCTCTCTCTCTCTCTCTGTCTCTCTCTCTCTCTGTCTCTCTCTCTCTCTCCTCTTTTTGCGGACTGCTTCCTCCTTCAAGGGAAAATTTCAATTAAGGACCCAAAGTGGGTCTCTTTTCTCAAAAAAGGACCAAAAGTGGACAATGTCTCAATTAAGGGTCCAAAATGCCCAAACCAGTCTCAAATAAGGACCCCAGCTCGCTGGCCGACCAAATGTTTGCCGGTCGGCGAGCGTGAGACATTTTCGACGCCGAAATAGGAGCAATTTTGTCTTTTTCTTTTCTTTTCCTTTCTTTTTCCTTTTTTCTTTTTCTCTCTTCCCTCTTGTGGCCATCGCCGGCGACGTCCATTGCTGGTATCGGGCGATGGCCGCCCTTGCCTAGGCGGGCGAGGGTGACCCTCGCCCTCACTCGGCGTCGGCGAGGCTGAGGGTGGCCCTCGCCGCAACCCTTGCCAGCCCAGGTGAGGACGGCTCTCGCCTGCCCAGATCCGGCGAGGGCCGCCCTTGGCCTCGCCCGCCCAGGTAAGGGCAGTCGTCACCCGACGCCGGCGAAGGCCACCCTCGCTTGCCAAGGCGAGGGCGATCGTCGCCCAACGCCGGTGAAGGCGGTCCTCGCTTGAGGCGGGCAGATGTCGCTGGCGATGGCCACAAGAGGGAAGAGAGAAAAAGAAAAAAAGGAAAAAGAAAAAAAGAAAGGAAAAGAAAAGAAAAAGACAAAATTGCCCCTATTCCGGCACCGAAAATGTCTCATGCTCGCCGGCTGGTGAACATTTGGCCGGCCGGCGAGCTAGGGTCCTTATTTGAGACTGGTTTGGGCACTTTGGGTCCTTTTTTGATAAAAGTGATCCACTTTGGGTCCTTAACTAAAATTTTTCCCTTCTTCAATTTGCTTTTCTTAATTCTATAGCTGAAGCAAAACAAAGGCTTACGAAGTATAGCCTTATGGGCTTAAGTGGTTACTTGGGCTTGGTCCAATGATACATTCTACTATCCTTAACATAAATTTCGTTCTCGAAATTCAAACTTACCTCAACTATCAAACAAATGAGAGTATTTCTACCTTGCCTCCTCTTTGAGCTCCCAAATGGCTTTTTCTCTCTGTGGTTTTGCCATCAAATCTTCACATAAAGAATAATTTGCTGTCACAATACTTAATCCTGCTTACTAGCAATGCGAATATGTTACTCCCCATAAGTTAAGTCTTCCCTTATCATATATATTTTAGTCTTGTTTCACCAACATCATCCTTGCAAATAGGAATTTTGCATTTTCGACCATACAAAGCTTCAAAAAGATAAAATTTAGCTAAATGTAAGTGTATCCTAAGAGCCGCCAAAGTCAATAGCATAGGATCTCAACAAGTCCTCTAGCATCATAAGAATGGTTCTCTCACTATCCATTTGTTTGCGGGTGGAGAGTTGTACAGTAGTTGAGTTTAGTTTCCAACACTTCTTGTAAAGTCCTCCTATTTAGTCATGGCCACGGGCCGATTTTGGCTCGGAACCGGCTCGGAACCGGCCCGGTCAAACCCGGGCCCGCGGTTCGGAACCGGAACCGGAACCGGCGGTTCCGGTTTCGGTTCCAAATTATTTTTTTTTAAAAAAAAGGTTCCGGTTCCGGTTCCGAATTATTTTTTTTTTTTAAAAAATAATGAATATTTTTTTTTTAAAAATTCATTATTTAATTTTTTTTATAAAACAAATTGAACTCTAATTGCCATGCATTGTAAGTGCATTTTGAAATGAACAATGCTTGAACCTATGTTAACACGGGTTTTAATTTTATAGGGATCTCATCAAACCGATTAGGTAAGTATCCCTAATTCACGAATTCAAACCCCAAAAGTTCATTCTTATGAAAAGAAATTCAATTCCCCAAGCGGAGCAAATCAATGGAAAAAATTGAAAAGACCATTTTTGTAACGACCCGGTCCGACGAGGGCGGGGAGTGGTCGCCGGGGCCAAATGGCCTGGACAAGGAGCGGCTCCTGGCAGGCTTCTAGGATGGCAAGGGGGGGCATGTCTCTTGTCCCACATCGCTTAGGGGGGAGTCCTGGGCTAGTTTATAAGGCTTGGGTTC